TGGGTTTTTCCAGCCTGGTCTTGACGCCTTTGCTCATCACTCCTCCCTCTCTGCAACTGGATTCCAGGAATTCAGCTCAGTGTTTCGCTGTAGGTGTCTGCTTCTATTTCCATCAGCTCCTGGATGAAGGCTCTAGGATGGCATATAAGGTAGTCATCAATCTCATTATCAGGGAAAGGCATTTAAGGTAGCCTCTCCACTATTGCTTAGATTGTTAGTTGGGGTCATCCTTGTAGATCTCTGGACATTCCTCTTTAAACCTATAATGGCTCCCTCTATTATGGTATCTCTTTTCTTACTCTTCTCTGTTCTTCCCCCAACTCAATTTTTCTGCTCCCTCCTGTCCTCCTCTCCCCTCCTCTTCTCCCCTGCTCTTTCTCCTAACTCCCCCTCCCATCCCCCATGCTCCCAATTGAAATATACTTTTTTTTTTTTTTTTTTTTTTTTGGTTTTTCAAGCAGGGGTTTTTTTTGACTTTGGAGGCTGTCCTGGAACTAGCCCTTGTAAACCAGGCTGATCTCAAACTCACAGAGATCGGCCTGCCTCTGCCTGCTGAGTGCTGGGATTAAAGGTGTGCGCCACTAAATATAATTCTTAACTGATAATTGTTGTTATTGTATAACTGTGTTAGAGTTAAAACCTTTCCTTTTTATTTAGACAAAAATGGGGAAATGTTGTGGAATATTCCTTCAATATGTCAAGATGTATCACTGATAGGTTTAATAAAAAGCTGAATGGACATTACCTAGTCAGGAAGAGGTTAGGTGGGACTTCTGGGGACAGAGAGCTCTGGGAAGAAGAAAGTCAGAGTCACCAGCCAGATGGAGAGGAAGCAGGATAGGGAGTGCAGAGTAAAGGTACTTAGCTACATAAAAGAATGTAGATTAACAGATACGGGTTCATATAAGTGGAAAGTACTAGTTAGGAACAAACCTAAGCTAAGGCCCAGCTTTCATAATTATTAGTAAGTCTCTGTGTTATTATTTGGGATCTGATTGGAAGGACAAAGACTCATTTATCTGGAACGTTTTCATCAACCCCAAAGAAATGATGCACCCACTTAAGACTCACTCTCAATTTAACCTCACCCAGTCCCTGGCAATTTCTTTTCGTTTCTTGAGTTTCCCAGTCTAAGCATTTCATATAGATAAAATTACACACTATGTAGCTTTTTACCTGGCTTCTTTCATTTAGCATACTGTATTCGAGATTCGTCTGTAACATGTACCATGTAATAGTAATTTGCCATATGGTGTACTCATTCATACAACAAATATACCAAGTTTATTCATCTACTACTAATGAATAAACTTGGATATTATGACTGAGCACTGTTCTATATGTCTGTGAATGTATTTTGCATTTATAGATGATCTCTTTTGGGGATAAACCTGGGAGTGGAATGGCTGGGTGATATAATTATATGATTAACATTTTGAAGATTGGTTCAATTATTTTCCAAAGCAGTGGTTCTATTTGACATTCTCATGAACAAGAACAAGGGTGCTAATGCACATTTTCACGCTATGTCTTTTTGAATATTAAATATTTGGGGCTTTAGCTTACATATTGACATCTTTGGCCCACTTTGAATTAATCTTTTTATGGCATAAAGTAGAGATTGAAGTTCTTTCTCTTGCAAGTGGCCATCTGGTTGACCCATCATTGAAAGCTCTTCTTTTTCCTTGACTCATCTTAACAACTTCATCACAAAGCAATTGGAATTACAGGGGTTTATTTCTGGACTCCCAATTCCACTAAAGTTATCCTAGTTTTTGTTTTTATGATAGCACTAGGCTATCTCTATTATTTTATCTTTGTAGTGAGTTTTGAAATTAGGAAGTGTAACTCTTCCAATGTTATTGTTCTTTTTCAAGATGTTTTGACTGCTTTCAGGTTCATGAATACCAACAAGGATTTTAAAATCAGATTATCCATTTTCCATATGCATCAATTTTTCTACCTGACATTCTCACAGGGACTGTATTTCAGCCAATTTAGGAAGTTTAATCTTTGTGATTTTAAGGTTTCTAACTTATGAACAAAAATTTCTATTCCCATATAGAGCTCTAATATTTCTTCTCAGTTTTGGTATAGAACTATTTGCATTTCTTTTTATTCAACTTATTAACAAACATTTATTATTTCACCCTGTTGTAAATAGATTTCTTTCCTCAGTTTTATATTTTTGTATAACTCATTACTAGCCTGGAGAAATGCAATCCATTTTTCTTATCAACATCATGTCTTGAAACCCTTGTACAACTTGTTTGACACCTTTTTGTACATTCTTTGAGATGTGCTACATTTATGTCAAGAGTAAACACTGTCCCCAGTATCCCTCTTCAGTCTGTAACCATTTCCTTTTTTAGTGCTGCTCCTAGTTGAACTCATTCATGCTTAACCTGTGCCTTTCACTTCTTATTGTTTCATCACCTCTACTAGAACACGCTGTACAATGTTGAAAAGGAAGCAAGAGTCAATACCCCTGACTTTTTCTTTGTGGGGAGGGGGGGCTTTCAGTTGTTCTCTAGTACCATGTTTAACGTGGGCATGAGAGAGATGGTCTTTATCAGGCTGAGTATAAAGGTTTTCTAGCTTGATAAATATTTCTATCATACATAAAATATCCTATGGCAAAACAATATGAGTTATGTTAGAAAAATGTATGGACTGTGATACTGCTATGTAAACTTGCCCCTGTCAAATCAGTTGAATTCAAGTCAACAAGCCTTTTCTGCCTTCTATTAGCTAAGCAGATGACATGTTATATGCTGCAATTAACAGGGGACTCATGCCCTGTTATTTGAAGTCCTCCCCAGCTCTTGAGGCACTCAACCTCTAATGGCCTTGAATCTCTGACCCTCCAGCCCACACCTCTAAAGTGAAAGTGTTGGCATTTACAGTCATATTTAGGGTGACTGGGAAAGAAAAAGGTTGGGAAAGTGAAAGTTGGATAACTCTATTTGCAGCAAAGGCCAAAGAGCAAAAAAGGGGCTTAGGGAGAAGTATGGGATGCCCCTTTTTTGCTTTATTCCATTACAGGCAGAGCATATACTGCAGAGACTCCCAGGGGAAGGGTCTGTTGGAAGCAAATCTGTGAGATATTGTACTTCTAAATGTCAGCTTCGCACTTCACACTGTTTGGCTAATGTGGGACATTCTATAGTCCTGAAGCAACCGTGGCTCTGCCATCTAGCTTCCAGTGTGGTTTTGGAGAAGTCTAAAGCCACTCATATCCTAATGCCTCCATGCGGCCAGATTTGCTGCATTGTTGGAGATTTCTCTGGCTCTATCGTTCTGAAATTTCTGGATGCCAGTTTGATGGAAGCCTCCCTTGTCTTTGTGATGAAAGCCTCATGTCTCATTCTGAAAACTCATGTATGGCATACTTTCCCTTCTACTTCCTATTTCTGGAGATGCTGAAATGTGCCCCTGGAATGTCCTGGTCTGATCCTTGCTCTGTTTTTCTTCATTTCATCTTCATTTTCATCTTTCTTTCTCCCCCTGGAAATCCTAATTTCCAGGAAGCCTTTTCTTGTTGCTCTTCAGCATATTTTTGCTGCTGTTCATTTTTATGTTAGACGTTATGCCTGTTCTCCTCTCTGGAGACAGTAATTCAGTTTTTTTTAATCTTCTCCATGATGGATTCTTCTGAGTTGCTGCTTAGGGTTTGTTCATTCATGCTAGAAGCTTCTACCAGATAACAGGTTGCCCTTGATTAAGACAGGACTAATAATAAAGCAGGCCCGACTGACAGCTTAAATGAGAAAGAGGGTTTCACTCCAGCCATGCAGTGCAATCAGTTGGAGAGCTTGGGAAACCATTGTGGCTGCAGACATCTCGAAAAGCTGCCCACGAATGTTATTATGAAGGTAAGATTGAAAAGTCACAGAGCTATTGTACGGAAGAATTTAGATCTCCCAACTCTGCCACGCTCTGTACGGCTCTGCTCACCAGGCTTCATTTCCCATGGATCGTCCCTCTCAGCTCTGGGTCATGACTCCTCAGGCAGGGATGGTCAAATTTAGCCTCCTTAGGATAGACTTCTGGGCTGAGGTGAGGGTAAGGAGGGGCAATGTAAAATGGTGGGGATATGATAGAGCTAAGCATCTTTCTACCCATTCTATTCTTCACTCTCACTTCTGGGGGAAGACAGACACAGCCATCAGTTTCTTAGCCTTCAGGACACTGCATTGAGAATTCTGCACTCATTTTCCATTGGCGCTCATTTTCCCTCTTGACAAATAGGCATTCTGTGTTCCCTGGTCAGCTTTCCAAATTTCTAGTGTCAATAACCTTTTATCCATGTTCCTGGTCTTGTAGAAAAACAAATCCTTTACTATATTTTCTGCAGTGTCAGTTCCATGTAAAGCTTGATTCTTGTACAACTTGTCATTTTTTTCAGTCATGACACAGAAAGGGAGGTGTGAGTCACAAACACTTTCCCCATGGAGCAGGGAGAAGGGGCGCTTACTAGTGAAACAACCTAACCATAACAATGAACCCATCACCAGGTTCTGCCCCGCATAGGCTTACCCACTTAACTACTGTGATTTCTTTCCTGTAGTCTCATAGAAGAAGAGCACTAGTTCGTTCCTGTTGCTGAGTGAGACCCAAAGGAGGAAAGAGTTCAAAAGTGTATGGGTTCATTATGGGGCAGCAAACACTCAGTAATGGGTGACACAGGGAGACCTGTACTCCTGACTTCTAGCAGCAGATAAAGTATTAAGCTAATAACTAAGTATACACAGAGACTGACTAAAGAAGTAGCCTGGATTTGAGTTACTTTGGGATATCAGTGATGAGATTGAAGGGGGTGCTCCTGCAAGACCTCAACCACCATGAAACAGGTGACATCAAGCATCATGTACTATGTCACTTGCTTGGTCTCACCTCCTGTGGCTGCTCAAGACACTTATGCTGAAGCTTTTTGAGGTGTTGAGTGTTTAAAAGGAGCAACAATAAAAGTAATCCTACTCAAGGCTGAACAATCCTACTTAAGTCAGAAAGAATTAAAACATTTATTGGGCATAAATATATTACATATACACTACAGATACAGTTAGGTATTACATATAGCATAGTATTTGCAAAATCTATACATTAAAATTGATATGGCAGTTTTAATACAATGTATATGAAATAATCTAAAATTTACAAGACAGGAAAACATGATTATTCTTTCTTCTAAAGTTGAAAAGCTTGGAATGTATGTCCAACAGTGAGGTAAAACATCTCGTCTTTCAATGTAAAGAATTGTGCAAGGATAACATTCAAACACATTCTATTAGGGCACTTTTCAATTTTGACACAAATACTGAATGATTGTAGCCAAAGAAACAAGGCTAGAAAATGTCAACATCTCAAGTTCGATAAGAACAAGGCAGGTAATATGCAAAATATCCTTTAAAAAAGTTTTCTTGTTAAACATTTTCATTGAGGACAAAGGGCAGTTTGCTTCAGGTGACTGGAATTTCTGTGTCAGGGATGCGTGTGACATACAGAGAAGCATCAGAGCATCAGAAAGCCGCTCACTCACACCTACATATGGCAAAGGGCAAAGGGGAGGTTAATAGAACACTTTATCTTATTGTTCCTTTGTAATGACAATATATATATAGAGTTATATATCCACAGCACATATACAGACTTGTGATAGAAAATAGTGCCATGTAGAGGAATCATTTCCTGACTGAAGAGATTATAATGGAGAGCAATAGAATAAAGTGCTGTCTGCTCGTGTGTCACACACTTCAGCTTTCTGATGGTCATAGGGCATGGAAATCTCTGGAAGATCAAATGTTCATAGAGATTCTGGCTGGAAGTATTATTTCCTTTAAAACCTTTCAACCACGTCAGAGACTTCTGTACAGCAGCAGTGCTGAAGTGTTCCAAAAAGAAGACTCTCCCCACAGATAGCTTTCAAAATTATTCCACTCAATGTGCTCTCACCTGCTTTAACGGTCTCGGAAAGTGCAGATGTGATGTCACAGTGGGTCAAATGACACATTTAGATGAAAGGATGAGTTTCTGAAGGCCAGAGCTTTGGCAAAAATATATTTACCTTGATACCATCAGTTTACAAGTCTAATTACACTAATTATTATAGTCAATAACAAAATACAGAGCTCTCTAGGACTCGACTACATCAATATAGGCACACAATAATGCATTGATCTCAGCACTCTTCTGAGAGATGATTATGGTTTTCTGGGTACATGTAAACCTTTCAATCACTGATAATGGGATTTTATTTTTTTTTGGCATTTAATGAGTTAGATGTTCTTATTTTTAAAAACACAAGAAAATGTCAGAAGGTTAATACTCCAGATGCTGCCAAGGAACAAAACTGACCTAAAATTACAAAAGTATAAAACACACAAAATATAACATGCTACGAGGGCAAATTAGTACATAAGTACATTTTAAAAATTTTACAATAAATAAAGATTGCACTGTAATTGGCATTTAAAGTACTGTATGCAGAATATAGTATAAATAAACCCAAAACAAAATAATGTTGGTTTCCCCATGACTTTGGTATGGGAATATTATAAGCTAGTACAGGGTACTTACTGCATCATAGACAACATAGACCAAGCACAAAACAGCTATGATCAAGAAAAACCAAGGAGCAAAAATATACAAAAAAAAAAAAAAAAAAAAAAAAAAAAAAAAAAAAAAACAAAAAAACAGGAACAGGGGGATCGGCTGTGTCTGTTGCACCCTTTTGGAATACAGTTGCACCTCCAACTCTTAAGTGTCCCTGAGGTACTCGAACATTGTGGACTTCATGAGTAATCCAATGACTTTGGGTTAGAACCGATTTTCTCATGACTACATGAACATGCACTCCAATAGCACCAGTGGATCCAAGATCTCAATCTCAAAGCACTTACAGATACTGAACCGCCATTTGATTTGATTTGATTTCTCATGCATGGGAAAACAGGCACAGAGAGGTCACAAAGCAAGCTAGTGACAGATCCAGGGAGAGAATCTTACAAGCTCTTTGGCCCCAAACACACTGTGCTTACAGCCAGTTACCACTCCCTCTCTACATGTGGCCAGATCAAGCCCCCAGAAACAGAAGGACAAATGTAGATGGTTCCCTTGTGGGCTTTATCAGAAAGATTTGTATCTACTGCTGCATTAGCATTATGGGCACTGGAATAAGGTACTGAACTTCATTCATTTCAATGACACCCCAGAGGATAGCCAAAGGTAAATCTTTCAAAAATAATGGGCCAACATGTAAGACAGCTCACAATTATGAGGCATTCAACAGCCATGAGTTCTCATCACATAATTCTGGTGAAACATAACAGAATATAATAACCCTACTGATTAGATTAGAAGTAGTTATATACAAAGACAGACAGGCAAGTTAAAGCAGCTTTTAAAGTAGCTGAACAAGAAACAACTAACTATTGCACAATGCCCTCTTAAAGTTACTGCTATGGACTGACGTGGAAATCTACAATGCTCCATCATTTATAGGTGCATTTGGTTATGTGATTTCTTAGACAGGCAACTCATAGTGTTAAAATCATAGGGGATACAGAGTAGTAAAACATTTAGATTAAAGTACACACTTTGATTTAAATGAGCTACACAGTTCCATAACTGAGTGATGATAGGATGGTCTAGGTGGCCTCAGCCGAAGGCACACATGTTCTGTATGTTCTTGTGTGGCACTACTCTGACAACAGCGAAATCCCAGCCCTGAACTCCATACACTGTGATTCGGTTTACAGATATAGACGATCAAGAAGTGACTGTGAATATAAATTACTAAACTGGAACACACAAAAAAATCAATGGCCTGCAAAAGACATCAGTGGAAACAGAATAGAAGCATACTGGAAAGCTTGAAAACATAAGCTCACTGGGCACACTGGGTGTATTGGGCACACTTGGCACTGGGTGCACTGTGCTCACTGGGCATGGGGCACTCACTGGGCACAGGGCACACTGAGCACTGGGCACATTGGACTCACTGGGCACAATGAGCTCACTGGGTACACTGGCTCCTGGTGTCTGGTGCTTTCCTGCTTCTCCCTTCTCCTGTTATTTATTCCTTTATTTATTATTATTATTATTTTAAAAATCCAGTTTAACCTCTTCCTAGTTTTGCATCTCAAACAGGTGCAGGCAAACACTGACTGTTTCCCCTAGCTAAATCTGTAAAACAAGAAAAGTATATAAATCAAAGAACAAAAAGGCTCTGAGTAAATGTGTATTAAAATGTGTGGCGTTCCGTTCACACCTCTAGTGTGCTGGATTTATTTCATTAAGAAGTACTGCAATATAAAGGCAAATAAAATGGACAAGGTTGCGAAGCCAAGCACAATGAGGGCAGCAAACTGTTCATCAGTGGGCATCATGCCCTTCATTTTCGGATCGTCCATGCTTCCCATATCTCCTGTAAGCATGACCTCACGTTGTTGTAACACAAAGGCCACAGAGGGGCTGAAGGCTCCACTGAGCTCCTGGGAGGTGTCCACGCAGCGGCGACATGCACACACACGGAACCTGTAGTCTGTGTTGCTCTGGAGGCCTGAGATTTGGAATGTGGCTTCTTCTCCCTTGTACACCTTCAAAAAAAGGAAAAGTTACAGATAATTCAGAACATTGTGGCTGCCACAGAAAATATTGTGTGAACTCAGAGTATTGCTTAACAACAGCATTATGTTCTTATGGAATCACCCTGTGAACTTACTTGGAACAAAGTGCAATGTAAACTCTAGCGACTTGACTTTGCCAGAAGTAGATGTAGTTGATATGTTAAGTAATACAGATAGAGAGCTAAATTTCTACAGTGCAGGCCGCCTATTAGAAGAGGCTCAACACCAACAGCTCTATCTTTTCATCTCCAGACAAATTACTATTTTACACTGAAGCAAATACCACTGATACTGGTAACAAAACACAAAGTTTCTCATTACTCCCACTTTTTTTTTTTTTTTTTTTGACAATAGGCTCATCCAATCTTCTGACATTGTGACACGCGATCTATGAAGTTCACACTCAAGAACCATACAATTAAGTTACAAAAAGCAAAACAAAACAAAAAACCATCCTCTCCAGCTCTTATGAAGTAGTAAGAAAGTTTGTGAGTTTGTGGTTTACCTTACTCTTGCTGTCCTCAACCCCTGGGCCACAGATTCACCACACCTACCACTCACATATGCAATGCAGCCCCAGTCAAGATAGCCCCCTCCCTCCAGGTAAGCGCCACATTGCCTTCCAGTTCTGCAACTTGCTTTGCCTGAGGGGTAAGTTCACACATGCATATGCACACACAGCGAGAAACACACACAGAGACAGAGAGAGAAACACACACAGAGACACAGAGAGATACTCACAGAGTGAAAGACACTTTTCTTTCCTCGGTTACTCTGGACACGGTACTACATTGACTTTTTCAGGGACATTTGGGTTGCTGTGTGTGTGTATGTGTGTGTGTGTGTGTGTGTGTGTGTGTGTGTGTGAGTGATATGGATATTTTTGTGTAGATCTGAGACTTAAGTTTCATCTTTTTAGGGTTGATACTGAAAAGCAGAAAGGCTGTGTCTCAAAGCGGGTCTACAACCATGGGAAGAACTAAAGCCTTGCATGCACAGCACCAGCCAGAGCCAGGTCCCAGCACCTGCCCTGCCGTTCCCACCTTCACTTTCACTAGTTCCTGTACATCCCTCATGGGTTGAGTTACTGCAGTGGTACAAATGACATCTCCTACAGTGGCTTTCTATACCCTTTCATGTGTGTATATGGCGCTTCTCTAGCCCCTTTGTTTAGAAATACACACATGCCCTCTGCTCTGATTTGTAGGCTCTTTCTAGAGCAGTGGTTGTCAACCTTCCTAATGCTGTGACCCTTTAATACAGTTCCTCATGTCATGGTGATGCCTGCTCTAGAATCTAGATCGAAGTTCTCTGGTAGATATATGTACTATGAAAATTTACTTCTCAGTAGTTTTGTGTTTTGCCTATCTGAAGATATCCTTTGATGCAGTTCAACATTAAAAATTAATATTGGCTGGGCATTGGTGGCACACGCCTTTAATCCCAGCACTAGGGAGGCAGAGACAGGGAGATCTCTGTGAGTTCGAGGCCAGCCTGGTCTACAGAGTGAGTGCCAGGATAAGCTCCAAAGCTACACAGAGAACCCTGTCTCAAAAGAACCAAAAAAAAAAAAAAATACTGAAGTCAGGTGTGGTGGCACAAGTCTTTAATTCTAGCCATCCAGGAGGCAGAGGCATGTGGGTGGATCTCTGTGAGTTTGAGGCCAGCCTGATCTCCATAGCCAGTTCCAGATGTCAGAGTTACACAGTAATAGGCTATTTCAAACAAACAAACAAACAAACAAACAAACAAACCAAAACACAAACAAACAGATGCATCTGACTGAGTGGTTTCTTTTAGTGTCCTATGAGTATAACCAATCTGCTCTCTCCCATTAAGGACCAGGGATATGCCCCACCTCTTAGACCCTAATATAATTATGGAGAGGCTTACTATTCCAGGGATTTGAAACTCAAGTTTATTTAGAAATGATCATGCTTCAAATTGGCTGAGCTAACAGGAGGCTCAGGAAACTGAGGTAGGAGGCTTCGTGGAGAGCCAGCCATTCGTGTGGTACTGATTCTTAGAAGATGTCAAAGAAATAATACATTAAAATTATATGAAAATTTATGGATTGCATCAGGCTTAACAAATACAGATGGGGTGGGGTGGGCTGCAACTAAACCAAGTCTGTAACATGTTTGGCTAATAAGTGATTTAAAAACGAAGTGGTACTAACTGACCCCTTCCTAGGTGACCTTGCATCTCTTCTGATCTGCAGGACAATCACTTGCTACAGGGACTTTGGGGATCTAGTATACAGCACTTACAGCAATTAGCTGAAGAAAAGCTCAAAGACACTGACTTGGGGTGCACAGCATGTCTGTGGGCACCAATGCCAGCAGTTCTTATGAGCTGCCATAAAGGCTCACCAGGGCCTCAGGCTGTGCTTGTGCAGGGTGATTTCCCAAGGGGCTTTGAGAATCCACACAGGTGGCAGTGGCTGGTCATGTCTCATATCCATTTGTCCTTATTCATTCTCACAGGGGCCTCATTATGGGCCTCTTCTCCTGCCTCAACTCAATTTAAGAGCGATGCTCCATTTAAGATTTTTTTTTATTGAAGTCACCAATCATAATATTGTAAAAATAAGTTTAAATGTGGAATTATTTGTTTTTTTCAAAGGTTATTTTTGCTCTTGATTTGGTGCTATATTTTAAACTCATTTTGAAATGTTTACTCCAAACAGGAGGGCATAAAGAAACACCCAGATAGCTGAAGTGAAGAATCCAAGAGTTTTCCTTTGAAGTAACAAGCTGTGAGGCTGAGATCCCTTAAACAATAGCTTTTAGGGGAGGGGCATCAAGTACAGTGCTTGCCAGATTGCTGTACATCTGCTTCCCCTCATGGTATAGCCACACATTTCCCTGGCATAACTGGATAGACAGGTCGCACACTGAAACAATTTGCAAGTATCTGGGTTATTAACTGAGGCTTGGCAAAATGAATTAATTCTCCCAAACCCTAGAATCATGGGAGGCAGGTGTGTCCTCATATATCCTGGCTCAAGAGAGAATCTGCTACCTGTAGACCTTTCCTGGGAGGGAGCAGTGGTGGGGGACCATCTATGCTGCAAAGTAGACAGTCACACCAAGGGTGCTGGGAAGATACTGTGATCTGCCTGGGGGTGTGCACTTCAATAATCAGTGCCAACCAATGGGGCAGCTCCACAATACAAGGCAACTAAGAGTATATCAACAACCCTGCCTCCATACCTGCACTCTGAGAAATAAAACAAATTCAGTTTATATGAAATTTCAAGCAGGTATATATCCAAGCATTGTTCTGGTTGAAGGGGAAGTGGTTTTTATGAGAAACTAATAGGGAACTGTAAACTTAAAAATTAGTAAAATAAATGATAGCTTTGAAAGATTTCTATTTTGTTCTTGTTTTGGGTTTGAAACATGGAAAACTTTAGGTGGTTAAAACATCTTTGCAGTTATGTGCCCAAAGTCATTGAGACATATGCTGGCCCTAGAATCTGCTCTAAAATGATGTTAGAATAGTACAGTCAACAGAAGATCCGCTTTCACCATGTCCCTTGTGACAACATGAACTATCAGCATCTACCCCAGTGCAGTATTCTGAAGATAATACAGGTCAACATACATTTATAGACATGTGTCAACTAACTGATAGAGAGACGTGCCAACTAACTCAAGGTGGGCTCCACAGAATTTCCAGTGCCTCAGAGGTTTTCTAACTCCAAGAAATCTGAGCAATAATTATTAGTAGGAAATGTTTTCTTGTAATTTGTCAACTCTATTCTTGTCTTCAATGCTCACATGCACTATTTTTTGGTAAAGACTATTGATGTCTAAGTAGGGATCTATATACTTCTGCTTCATTTGTTTGTGTTATGCAAAGCTAAAAAATGAGTTGCATGTATGTAGAGAAATTTTCACCCTTTCAAGAATGTTCTGTAGTAATGCCATCAAGAAAGTGTAAATGTCTTGAAAAACACCTGGAATGTTTAAGTAGCAAAAGGACACACATATACACACATTTAAATGTAAAGTGAAGCATCAGTAAGGATTTGGTAATTAGTTAACATATGACTGTTTAGTTATTAAAACAGGCTGCCTGTCCACATCATAATGCTAACAAAGGAGAGCGGAACAAAAGGGAAGCTAGAGCTAAACAGACTCAAGACAGGAAGGGCATTGGGCCTGCCTGTCTACTGGAATCAATATCACTATTCTTCCCATTACAAAGTAAACTCACCACTGCAGGTACAATTACCCAGCTCCCTGGACACTGCCTCTTCCATGTTTGCAGGAAGCATTTACTGAATGCCTGACTATGTGCCAGACTCAGAAAACAAAAATTGAATCACCCAAGCCCTCCTATTAATGGATCCTGTGATTAGCGCTGTAATGGAGGCATAAGCAGTACAGCACACGGGCCCTGGCTTGGCTGTGGTTGCTGCGCAGTAACAATTACCTCCCATTTGCTTTGGTTTGCCGTTGTGAATTCAAAGCCTGCTGTCTATTATTCCACACATTATACAAATAGCCTTCATTCCCTCTCTCATGTCAGAGCAAGGAAAAGCAATACTCAAAATACCACATTCAAGTTCATGCTTACTGAATAGGGAAAGGAAAGGAAAAAAGAAAAAAAGAAAACAAGATCCCCAAACCCAGTACAAACTGTCCCTTATCAGCCATGTCAACTGTGGCTTCTCATGTCACTACTGCCCTTACTCATTTCTTGGTAAAGGTGGGAAATATGTGGACATCTCTACTGACAAAGCCTGTCTTAAAATGCTACATTCTGGATAATAAACAATTGTCTGTAGCTTTGAAGGTAATAGAAATATTCAATGGCAAATATATTACTGTACATCACATCAGTTCTTAGTACTCATACATCCATGGGTCTAACCTTGTAGCACTGAACAGTGGGTTCAGAAAGAACAATCTGATACAATCTAAATTACTGCATAGATTAGTCTCCATTCTGTCAGTGGTGGTCGCATACAGAAACTGAACACACAGTGCTGCCCTTTCTCTGAGAAGCGGCACTCACTGCACACTGAGAGGCAGAACATTCTTTTCCAAGAATACTTAGAAAGCATGGTATGTGGAACAAAAGGTTTTAAAAACACGGCAGCGAACATGTGATGAATGTTCTGTTAAGAAATGAACCACTGTTAAGTATGAAACAGGAAAGCAAGCCCTTTCCTAGCACCCTTGACACGGTGGATGGGGCAAGGCTTATAGCTAGACCACGCTGGAGAGAACTCTTCTGATTAGATGAGCAGTGACATGTGAGCTGACTAACTCTGAGATGCTAAGGGGAACAGAATGAGACGGGAAGGTGAAAGGGAAGCCCAGGGCCTTTGTTCCCTTGTGAGAGAAATGATGGAGGCCTTGGTGACATCATTGGCTCACGGGAATCACTATTGGCAGATGTCAGGCTGAAGATAAAGTTTGTGCAAGATGTGGTTAAAACAATTGTCATTATCTGATGCTCACATTAGCAAATGTATCAAAATGTCCAATAACTTCTTTGGTATTTTAAGCATATTTTGATTACAAGAATTTTAAAAATTATTACACAAAACACCAGCAAGCAATTTAAGGGAAATGCCAAGTCAGATTTTCTTCTCTTGTGTGCATCTGAAGACTCAAAAGGCTAAAACAGGAGCCTTTATCAACAATGCCAACATTTCCCAGGTGACAGTCAATGTCACTCTGATGAGTTCAATACAAATGGATTATGAAGAGTGCCAAGCATCACTTTCCTGATGGAATACACAGTCTTATGTCCCAGTTTCACTAAGCAGTTGCTATGTTCAAGGGGACTTCACAGAAACCCTAAAGTCTCTGAACCCATTACAGTCAGTGACCAGATAAGGATCACGGGGTGTGAAAAACAGTAAAAACAAAATCACTGTCTGGCAATGAGAATCATGTCTTCTCTTGAATAGGTTTGACTGTGATCTATTGACTTTGACACAGGCCATGTTACCAGGAGCCTGAATCCACATCTAGCCATCTCAAATCAGAACCTGAACTTTATCAGGTTTCCACGTAATGGATGTATACTAAAGGGTGACAAGAAGCAACCCAGAACTTCTGAGTCAGAGACCTCAAGGGTCTACTGGTCACCTCCCTTCCTTTCATTGTCACTTTTGTAACAGAGGCACAGAGGACACAGGTTTTGAAGGTTAGGTTAAGATGCCTTCCTCTAGGCCTCGGCACTCTATGGGGCCCTTGGTAGTGGATCAGTATTTTTCCCTGGTGTAAGAAGGGACTTTGAGAGCCCATCCCATGTGAAGGGATGCTCTCTCGGCCTGGACACATGGGGGAGGGCCTAGCTCTGGCCCAAGATGATGTGGTGGCCTTTAGGAAGCCCCCATGGAGGGCCTTACCCTCCCTGGGGAGCAGAGGGGGGATGAGGTGGAGAGCTGGTAGGGGGGTTGGGGGAGAGGGGAGGGAGAGGGAGAAGGGATTGACATGTGAAGCAAGCTTGTTCCTAATTTGAACTAATTAAAAAAAAAAAAAGATGCCTTCCTCTCTGGGGGTCACTTCAGTTTCCAATCACACGAAGACTGATACATGCAGATTTTATGATATTAAACAAATACATCACTTGAAACTCCACACAAGTTTATACTTGGGAACTAAGATAGGAAGAATACCACCAGATAAGAAATGAAATATAAATGATATAAATTGGTGTCAGGCTGTTTCAACCACTGACTCCTAACAAATCTGCAGCTCACTGCATCAAGGCAAGCATCCAGCCTGTTGCAGGTGAGCGGCTCATGCGCACTGAGCCTTACCTGTTTGTACTCAGATTCTCTTCCGACCAATACCTGCAGAATGTAGTTAACAGGGTCGCCTTTCATCGGTGGTACTGTCTCCCATAAGATTTCACATGAATTTCCTTCTAACTGTGTCACTCGAGGTGCTGTAATACAAAACCATACACCCAAGCTCAAAACTCAAAAGTCTCACACCAGTAATCCATATTCTAGTTCTGTTTGTGAGACTCAGGGAGAATGCGATGGTGCTTTCATATAGCCTGACAGGGAGCAAATCCTGCTGGGAAAGGGGAGTTACTCCAGGACCAGGAAGCCCATTCACAGCATATCTTCTCACTAGCTCATTAATGAGTTGGTGGCCTGGGTTACAGCCCGCTTATTTATTAAACTATCTACCTACGGATAATGATCTACCTACCTACCTACCCACCCACCCACCTATCATCTCCTATGGCTCTTGATCTCTCCTCCCTCCCTCCCCTCTCCTCCCCATGGCTGTTGATCACCTTCAAAATGTTTAGGCACTTTCCATATGCCAGGTACTTTAGGGGTGTGGAAATAAAGATCAAGCTGTTTCTAAGGATACTAAGCTTAGGTAAAGAAGGGGAGAACACAGTATGGGGCAGGCACAGGAAGACACTGAGCATGTGATTGACTTAACACAGGAGGCATAGGTGGTGCCAAGCAAAGACCCAGACAGCAGGCAGCCCTGAGGCATTAAAACATTTTCCTACATTTATACCTTAGTTTGTTCACCTATGGGATCTATCATGAATATTTAAAGCTAAATTAGTCTGTAGTAAGGTACTTAAAGTCAACTGCCTCCCTCCGCTGCCCAGGCCCCTTTGCTGGAAATCTAAATAGGGAATCTCACCAGACTAAAAGACCTCCAGCCAAAAGAGCTATTTTGTGAATCTAGGAGCCAGAGGAAGAGCCTGGTCATGGGGTGTTTGAGGAGGACATTGCATGAGGTAAAAGCCCTATGGGATCCCTTATCCAAACTCTGTAGAGCAGCTTTTGGTAAGGATCACTCTGAGAGGCACTGGGAGCACTTCCAATGTCAGACAGACTCAAGGCTGGTAGTAATTGCCTCTGAAGCACTTGCTAGGAACCACCCAAAATCAGTGAGCCACAGCATGCTCAGGTTCTCTCTTTTCTTTTCTTTGGAATAGGGGGCTAACACAGGGTTTCTCTGTGTAGCCCTGGCTGTCCTGGAACTTGAGTTGTAGACCAGGCTGGCCTTGAACTCAGAGAGATCTGCCTGCCTCTGTCTCCCAAGTGCTGGGTTTACAGGCATGTACCACCAAACCTGGCAGGTTCTGTCTTTTATAAAGCCCAGAGGCAAAGGTGTACTCAATGGCTGGGCATTTACTGCCATAGTGGCCCAGCACAGCATCATAAAGTGCACATGACACACAGAGAAGCGGTCCAGGTGTCTGTGGGGCAGGGGAGCAGGGGAAGGCACATGCCATGAAGTAACCCTGGAAGGAGTTACAACAACCTAGCAGACCCCAAGCCAGACAGTGACCCAGGTCCTGATGGCCCCTTATTTTCTAACTGACTCTATGCTCTGGATATAGGGGGCATCAACTCCGTCACATGGAAGCTGTCCTAGGGGCAAATACGGAGGGGCCTTCTCCATAGAGAGTACCCCTGCCCCTCTACAACACACATCAGCATCAGGGCCATTTTGAGCAATGGCTGGAGGAGACAATGCTGCTTTGTTTAAGGGGACGTTCCAGGGCCCTGCATAAGAACATGACTTGTGGTGAAAGGGAAAAGGCTCAGGAGTCTGGGCTCTTATCACTATTGGCTCTACCATGCAAGTCTGCCACCTACTCATTCACAACTCTGTGACTGAAGATGTGGCAGACTTGGAGCCTTGGCCCAGCAATGGTGGCTCTGTCTACCCTCCTTGAGAAAGATGGGAGACTTATCTATTTGCTGTCTTAGCACTTCTGCAGGATCTGATTCCTCCAAGGATTAAAGCAGGAAACCTTGAAAACTTGAGGAGAAACACTGATGCTCACTCCCATGAGTTTTTAACAGTGCCCTCCATGGACAGGATATGTGTCCACAGGGAAATGCTGATGTTGCCTCATTTGGGGTCTAATTTCCAGACCCAAAGTCACCCAGAGATGAATGACAACCTCTGAATGTCTTTAGGAAAGGGGACGTGAAAAACCATATTTGGCAATTTTCTCTTAAACCATCTCTCACTGACTCCTAACAAACAGGCTGTCACTGTCATCAGTTCCTTGTCTATTATGCTTGGGGATGAGAATATACTACATTATTTCCAATAAACAAGTATGTAGGATACACCATACATGTAGGCATTTTCTCCTGATAACCCACCACACAGCTTTCTTTCTTTTCTTTTCTTCTTCTTCTTCTTTTTTTTTTTTTTGAGAAACTTTGATTTCATCTCGCTACTAGAATTATGAAGAATGCATTTATAGTCAGAATTGGATTTCCTAGGTGTGATTTCAATGCATCTTTACCCTCCCGGGACAGTGCATCCGGGTCTACTTCCACACACCTTTGAGGGTGGGAGGGACACTTTTGGTTGTGCTGAAGGTATAGGTTTCTGAGAAAGGTCCCTCTCCTGCTTCACTCGATGCCTGGATTCGGAAGGAGTAGCAGGTGAATTCTGTCAGTCTTTGGACCTTATAAGTGTGGCTGGGTCCTCTGTAGATGGAGACAAACCTGGATAGAGAGAGGGGCAGAATCCATTAGCCACCTGGGTTTCTTGTGGTGATTGTGAGGCAGACTCATGAAAAGATGGGGCTAACTTGATAAATGCCTCCCACCACCTGAAGTGACCAGTTACTATGCTCAGTTCAGTTTAATGTTCAAGGAATATTTATATAAAACACACAGTAAAGCACATGTAAAGAGTAGAATCAACTTTCAGAAACATTAGTTGTTCACGTTCTTATTTACTAATAAAAAGCAGAATTTTCAAGAGTTTCATTATGGTTAGTAGTAACTCACCTTCTATTATGTATTTGGGCATGAAGTCACTGTTCAATGGGCATTTGAGAAATAAGATGCCTATTTACTCAGATATTTCAAATAATAGAAGTTTAGGAAACCTTTTAAATTTTGGTCTTTATTAATACAAGACCTAAGCTGGCAAAAAGACACCTATGATTACGTATCTTTGAGAAAATATACAAAAAGACAAAGGCAATGTGTTCACTAGGGTAATTAAAATAACAGAAAAAATGCCATGGGCCAGCGGGGCAGTTTTGGCTGGCAGATTTTGGTTTCTTCTACCATTTGTTCTGAAACTATTTCATACTTCTATGCTAATTAGAATATTTTTTTAAATCTCAATTCACTTTGTGTGTGTGCCTCATGTGTATGGGAGCACACACGGAAACCAAAGCTAAGTCTCAATTCTGTATAAATGGCTCTCCACAGCCTCCTTTATGTAGGTATGCTCAGCAAGTATGCCTACTGACTGAGCTATCTTACTGGCCCTTAATTACCCGAAGTATGAATTAAAAAAATAATGCTTGTGATTTAGGTATTTTCTCAGCATATCATGAAAACTTAACTTTTCCCCTCCAGTGAAACTGGGCTACCTAGAGCTACAAATATACTTTCATCACTTAGTAACTGTATGATTTTTAAAAACAATGTGATTTTCCAAAAGTTCTCCAGTACTTAAGCATCACTGGCCCAGGACACCCTGAGAACCAACTCCAAGTAACTACAAACACATGGTCTTGGTCCACCCATGCCAAGAGGTGCCCCGAGTTGCCTTAGCACCCATGGATACCCCACTGTCTTCAGAAACCACTGGAAGGTACTCAGTGATAGAGTCATCATTCACAATGTCTGACTGGGGCTGGTTTGGCTCAGAGAGGAGGAGAACTCTTGCATTCATTTAGCAGTCATTCTTAACCTGATGTGCGCTGGGCTCTGATGTTGAATGAGAAGCAACCTGGTGTTAACAGGGTGTTAGCCCTGTGTGGGGGTAGGGAGTTCTGGAGGGCAGTAGCAAGTTTGCTCTGTGTGGAACAGTCCTAGATGGGAGGGTGGGGGTGGATCCATGGGGAGTGAGATATGGATAGATCAAACAACTTGAAAAGAAAAAAAAAACTTGTCAGTCAATACTCAGTGTTTAACATCCAGGCACTTGCCAGCCTTTGTAATTGAGTTCCTAAGCCCTGGCAGGTTTGCTTACTGTTCTGCATGTTTTGCTTCAGAAGGAAGTACCTTTTATTGAAGGCTGAACACCGTTAATTTTAAGGAAGCCAGAGTCCAGGTTGAAACCTACAAATAACCATAGCAACCGGCTTAGCACGCTCAACACATGACTACCTTAATGAAGACACCCCAGCTAATGTAGAGACAAGTGGCTACTTATTAACTCAGCTTCACCTGGGCCAGAATTGCCAGAGGGAGTAATTGCCCTTAATTGTATCACAAATGGAAGTCATGGTTTAAGAAGTGACACTGTTAAATCTCCATTATGGTGGCCAGCAAGCTGAAGAGTTTATAGAACTGTTTCCAGCTCTGCTGTACTCCACGGTTGGTATTCCCTTTAGAAAATAGGTTTGATAGATATTTATGTCAAAGTTCAATTACATACCTAGGTAGAAGCACTCATAGCCACTAAGAAAATCACTGAAGCAAATTTGGTAATCTGATTTCAGACTACGATCCAAACTGAGCAAGCAGGACACATGCAATTTTCAAGTGTTTCTAGAGTATTGGTCCCTTTCACTTCTTGTATTGCTCATGTACCAGCGTACTTAACTGATACTCCAACTTAAAAAAAGCACCGTGGGAATAGCTGATAGTGATGGCAAATTGATGAATGTGTCATTAACACACATTTGCTTAGGTTTGGAGACAGTGTTACCCACAGATGTGGGAAAGGCTGAATTAGTATAGAGAAAGCAACTGCAGAGTGAGGATGGTTTGAAGCCTGGAGTGCTGCAGGTCTAATGTTGAAGCATCTTGCTGTAGTGAAGACAGAAACAGGGAGCCACAAGAGGCCAACCTGGGACTGGTAGTTCTTTGGGGAGGACAAGCTGGGTGTGGGCAGCTCTTCCAAGTTCTTCAGAGCTCCAAAGCCAACATGTTCTAGCCAGCTGTGGGTTAGCACACTGCCTACTCAGGCAACAGTGACTTTTTCTTTCATTTCTTAAAAATTTATTTTATGTGCATTGGTGTTTGTTTTTGCCTGTGTACATGTATGTAAGAGAGTGTCAGATCCTTTGGAACTGGAGTTACAGACAGTTGTGAGCTGCCATGTGAGTGTTGGGGATTGAACTCGGATCCTCTGAAAGAGCTGCCAGTGCTCTTAACCACTGAGCTATCTCTCCAGCCCAGTAACAGTAAGTGTTGGTTGGCTTGTTTATGGAAAGCCATCACTGCTTTGCTTGATCTTCATCCCACAAAAGGGTAAGGGAGATGTTCTGGGAGGAAGACTTCTTTTCCTTGGTTTTTAAAATGTTTATGGAAATGGCTGAACTAGATGGCAGCTAGTTCCTATGGCATATATTTAACCAGCTACAGAGACAGCCCATGCTTGGTTGACCCTGGGTGAAGTAGCTATGGTCCGGGGAAGAGAGACATCAGGAGTTTCAACATTAACAGCACCAGCATCATACACAGGGTCAACTAAAGTAGATGTGCCCTCCTGTCCTCTGGGGGTGTGATTCACAGATCCAAGGTCAGGAGGCCTGAGAGACGAAGCATGAAGGGGTGGTCAATGCTTGCTGAGGATTTTCCTCCCCATCTTACTTGGGAGGTGTGGCCACACAGAGGTGTCACAGGCACACAGCAGGTCTTTGTCTTCACCAAAAGCCCACACTTCCCTCTCTCTGCAGGTTCCTCTAGCCCTTCCTTACTTCCAAAGGAGGAAGAGGTAGAGCCAATCTGCAAGGAGACTATGGGGTAAGCGTAGAGGAAGAAGGGGTGCTAGTACTGGCTAAGTCATATTTGTTCATGTCTGACTTTACATTCTTTTATTCTTTTCAGGAAAGAAATTCATCTAGTAAATGCATTCTAGTCCGCATCAAGTCAGCACAGAAACCAGAAAATAAAATCTTTTATAAAGTGCTTCCTCTCTATTTTGGTTTTCTGAAAATATGATATTGCTTTGACAACAGCCAATCTGATACTTTTTAAGGATTTTAATTTGAAAACTGTAAAGGGGCAACATGGCTTTATTTCTTTATACCTCTAAGACCCAGGCACTTGAGAGGACCCAGCAGTGCGGGCTCTAAGATGAGAATGGGTCCTGTGGACGATGAAACACTAGCAAGTGCCTCCCTGTGCCTCAGTGGGGTTTAAGTGGGTTATGAGACTCATTAGAACTAGTCTTGTTATGCAATAATCATTCCATCCATGTTAGTTACAACTGTGTGCATGTAACACCCACATATGCCAGAGGCCTACTTCCAGTGCCCTCTATTGCTTTCAACCTTACTCTTTGAAGCAGGGCACCTCACTGAACATGGAGTTCACCATGATGGCTGGCTTGGCTAAGATAGGGAAACAAGTTCACTTGTTTTCAGTCATTTCCTCTAGTGCTGGGAACCAAACCTGGGGTCTTAACTACTGAGCTAAACCCTGAATTCCAAGATGGATTGAGAAATGGTGCCACTTTACCTCCCAAGAGAACACCTTGGCCCTATGGGCAGCAACAGACTGACTTTTCTTTCTGTCGGTGCAAAGCTGGCTTTGAGAAAATTCTTGCCCAGACTACTGTGTTAGTCTCAGACAAGACCATGGGGCTTCATTAGTGATGCTGTAACCCTCTTCACGCTTAAGACTGCCAGGGAATGTGGGTAGGGACACTGTAACACTGTGGTGCCAGGAATGTGGACAGGGACACTGTAACACTGTGGTAGTATTAAACTTGAGCAGCCATAACCAATGCCAGTGCCGGACGCACATCAGGCCTCAGGGAAGTGTCTCGCTAAGATCCTGAACATCTTCCTGGCAGCCTTAGCATATTGGCAATAACATCTGCTTCCCTGTACTCCTCAAATGCCGAGTGGGAAACACCAACCAATGTGTAAGAAGAAGAAATACATCAACCAACACACAAAAGGCAATGTTAGCCTTGCTGTCAGCCTAATTCTCTCATTTTCTCACTCAAGGAGGCAGGAGAAGACAGACTTTTTCAGAGCCAGGGACATATACTGGAGTTAGGACATATACAGGACAAATACAGGACAGCAAACCATGGACAGAAACATTCTGGGAGAAATTTAAAATACTCATCAAGTAGTTTTCTATTAGACTGACCTCATCTACTTCTTTCTTTTATACCCTTCTTGTAAAAGGTCAACTTCATTGATAAACAAGCCAGAGCCTCTATGTGATAGAACTAACAATACCAAACATCCCAAGATAAAAGACTGAAGACTTCCTATTTAAAGCAACCAGCTATAAGCAGGTGGCATGGTTCCTGCAATGCATGATGTTGTCAATCATGGTAGAGGCATACATTGCTCAAGTGTCAGCTTCAGTATCACAGCTCCTCAAAGGTGTCTCAGAAGGCCTGGTCCTACACTAGCCATAGCTCCACAGCCAGACCTTGTTGCCAGGATGAACTCCACAGGCAGCAGACCAAGGACACTTGAGGTGAGGATGTCAGTGTGGGAACACATGTGGGCCACTGCTGCATTGCTCTGCTAATCTGTTGGTCTACCAGCTCTCCTCCCTCTTTCCCTCCC